ATTTCTAGGCTCAGGAACTCTTCTCCTATAGTTGGAACTGGAAAAATCAGTTTGTAGAGCCGGCAGGTGGCGTGGTGGTTAGGAGCTCTGGACTCCCACATGGCCGACCACGGTTCAAGTGCCAAACCTGGTGGCTTGAAAATCACTCTACTCTTGCTCACTCTGTCCCTCTCTGGTCAAATTAAAATAAATAAAGTTAAATAAAATAATTCTTGGGACCAGCAGTTAGCATAATGGCTATGTCACTGGACTCCCATGTAGTTTACCGTGGTTCAAGTCCCGAACCCGGTGGCTTAAACTCACGCCCGGCGTGTGTGCGTGCGTGCCCAAGATCTTGAGAGGAGAATGGAGGAGAAGGGATTGCGGTGTGGCCATCCCCCCCTGGGGGGTGGTTTCTCACTTTCTGTCTCTCTTGCAAGCACATGTGCCCTATAGCAAAAACATCTCCAAAATACTACTACTAATAATAATTCTTTAAAATATATTTGCTGGGTGAAGGATATGTGGGAATTCTTTCTTTATAGAAAATTCTTGCAAATTTTCTATAAATCTGAAATTATGTGAAAAAAAAAGTAATGCATGTATGCTATAACTACACTTTTTATTAATCCCTAGGGAGTGATTTCTCATTTCTCTCTATCTCTGTCTCTGTCTCTCTCTCCAGTGAACACACATACCCCATAGCAAAAATACAAAGTAATTCAATGATTAAGTCAAAAACAGACTTTTGTTTTTAAAAAGTAGTCATAATACATGGTCAGAGATTTCTCTGGCTACTGCCCAGAGCTGACAGTAAGCCTTCTGAAAAGAATCTCTCTCTAGAGAAATCTGGGACTACAGATGTCAAAAGCCCCTAGATGGATCTGAAAGAGGTGAGTTAAACGCCTGGGGACAGTCTCAGCTGAGGAACTGACTAGGGAAACTCCCTAAGCAGGCCGGTTTCCATGGCAGCGCCGGATCATTTATCCTTCCTAGCACTTAGGTTTCATTTACAGACAACATTGTTGAAACAATCAGAGGACCGAATTGCCAAGAAACAGTCTATGTCCCCAGCTCACTAGTTTGATGACAGATGAATCTAACGTCGATGTACCAGAACCTGCCCCTGAACCAAGATCAAGCTGACTGATGGTGTGGATCATTTCCCACACGGCTTCTCCCTTTTCAAGGGCCATCTTGTCAGGCTCACCTCCACGCTGATTTCAATTCATTTTTATTCCCTTCCCTCTACTTGCTTTTTCTTTTTAGAATTATTTAATTTTACTTATTCATTCTTTTTCTTTTTTTTCCAATTTAACCAGAGAGCGGGGAAAGTGAAAAAGCCAGATCCAGAACTTGAAATATGGTCAGCCATGTGAGAATGTTCAGCACCTTGCCCACCACACCACCTACTGGCCTCCCTCTATTTGCTGTTTTTTAGCACTTCTTTTTTTTAAAGGATTATTTTTTATTTAGCTTTATTTGTTTATTTTTTTATTTCAATTTGACCAGAGAGGGACAGAGTGAGAGAGAGAGAGAGGGAAAGTGAGAAAGCAGGCCACCAGGTCCGGGACTCAAACCATAGTCGGCCATGTGGGAATCCAGCAGACTTAACCACCACACTACCTGCCGGCCCTTCTATTTGCTTTTTAAAAGAGTTTCCAGAGTTTGAATGGGAGAATCCAAGTCACAAGAAGTAAGGTTATGTGCTAAATTTTGCTTTGAGGACCACAGAGCTTGAAAGCTGTGGTGGAGTTTCCGAATTGTTTCTGCAAGTGTGGCCTAGGACTGATAACACCATTACTGGGAGTTTGTTAGAAATGCAAATTTCTGGGTCCCTACACAGACCTATGAATCAGAGCCTATTGGAATTAGGGTCCAGCAATCCGTTTTAATAAGCTCTCTAGCTAATTCCAATTCTTGCTGAAGTGCAAGAAACATTAGCTATACATCTTGCTACTAGACAAAATCAATGCTGGAAAAGAGCTACATTATTAGAGTGTACTCAAAGACCCTAAAACCTATTTTAAAATATTTTTGCATGGATGACAATGGAACTTACACGAGAGAACTAAAAGAGAGTGGTACATCCAGCTGACTCTCTTGCAGACAGACCAGGGAGAAGTGAGTGTGGTTAGCTGTGGCGGCTTTAGAGGCCTAACCAGTCAAAGCTGCCTTGGGAAGCCTGCCCTAACCCCTGGCAGACCAGGCTAGTTCCAAGGTCTCCTAGAGCAAACTTTTCCTGTAAAAGAGCATCTTTTCCTACAACTATAAAGCAGATTGTTCTGTTACAACTATTCAACTCTGCAATTCATGAAAGTCACCATAGACAATATATAAACTAATTCTGAGCCTTCTGGGCCAGAACCTTCATAGAGCCCTGGACTCTGATTGGCTTCCAAGGGATAGGGTCAAATGTAGGCAAGGTATGCCTCCTGCATTCTCTTCGCTCAGCAAAGCTGGACCCCGAGAAATGGGGACTGCAGGCTTTCCTCAGTCTGAAGACTGAGCTGACCCAGTAGACAAGAGTGGGTTGAGATCAGCAGAAGACTTCATCACACTTCAACCTTTGTCCTTAAAGATATCAGTCAATGCACTTTAAAGGCTTTGAAAGCAATACAGCTTGTGTACTTAGATTTTACGTAGTCAAAACTTTCAAATTTCAACCAGAAAAGGATATGCAGTTGGCTTTTACGTCTGAGTTTCATATCTAAATGTCCAACCAACTGTGGATGCAGCCAAGCCATGCCAATTGCTACAAGGGGGAAGAGTTGGCTCCCTGAAAGAGAGATGCTAAAGAAGTTGACTTACATATTCTCCTTTTCACTTATACCTAATGCTAAAATTACTTACAAGTAATCTAGAGACAATTTATAAGATATACGAGGGACCAGCAGTTAGCATAATGGCTATGTTGCTGAACTCCCATGTAGCTGACCGCGGTTCGAGTCCCAGACCCGGTGGCTTAAATTCACACTGGGTGTGTGTGGGCGCGTGCCCAAGATCCTGAGAGGAGAATGGAGAAGGGATTGCAGCATGGCCATCCTCCCTGGGGGGTGACTTCTCGCTTTCTGTCTGTTTCTCTTTCTGGAGCATGCACGCTCCCTATAGCAAAAACCTCTCCAAAATAAATAAATAAATTTAAGATATATGAGAGGATATGAAACTACTATAGCACTTTATATAACTTGCTAGTTTTAGTATCTACAGGAGTTCTGGAACCAATCTACAGCGGATACTAAGGAATAATTGGATTCTGATTCAATGCTATTTCATCTTTATAGTTAAAAAAAAGAAACTCATTTCTTTTTTATTGTCAGAGGATGTATGCACTCCCCAGAGTGTGCAAGAGAAAAGGGAAAGAACCCCATTGTGCAGTCATGCTGCAATCCTTTTTCTCCACCTTCTCCATCTCATCTGGATTAGGAGCTTGCACATACCAGGAGTGTTTTTCAAGTCACTGGAATGTGAACTGTGGTCAACCATGTGGGATCCAGTACTGTATCCACTGTGTCTCACTGCCGTGTAACTGGGCAGCCAAAAGACAAACCTTTTCTTTTTTGAAAGAATTATTTTTATTTGGGACCAGCAGTTGGCGTAATGGCTGTCGCTGGACACCCATGTAGTCAACCTTGGTTTGAGTCCCAGATCTGTTTGCTTAAACTCATGCCGGACGCGTGTGCGTGTGTGCCCAAGATCCCAAGAGGAGAGTGAAGGGATTGTAGCATGACCATGCTCCCAGGGTGTTTTTCTTTCTGTCTGTCTGTCTCTTTCTGGCAAGCACATGCACCCTATAGTAAAAACCTCTCCAGAAAAAGAAAATTATTTTTATTTAACTTTATTTACCCATTTATGTATTTAGTTTTTAATTAGACCACAGAGGGCAAGAGTGAGAGAGAGAGAGAAAGTGAGAAAGCAAGCTGCCACATCTGGGACTCAAACCACAGTTGGCCATGTGGGAATCCAGCATTCTTAATCACCGTACCACCTGCTGATCCCAAAAGACAAACATTTTTAAAACAGATACACACAGTCAGTGCAAAGGACTTAACAAGACTGTAATTCTAACATTTTATATTGAATATGTTACATTTTCCCCAAATATATCTTGTCTAACAAAAATGGGGGTGTATTTCCATCACAAGAAAGACTCTTACATGGGACCAGCAGTTAGCGTAATGGCTATATCGTTAGAATCCCATATAGTTGAACGTGGTTTGAGTCCCAGACCCAGTGGCTTAAACTCACGCTAGGTGCATGTGCGTGCATGCCCAAGATCCCGAGAGGAGAATGATGGAGAAGGGATTGTGGTGTCACCATCCCCCCAGGGGGTGATTTCTCACTTTCTGTCTCTGTCTTTCTAGGGAGCGCACGCACCCTATAGCAAAAAAAAAA